AGATTAGATACAAAATAAACGACTGATAACGAATGGCCAGTGCACAAAGTGAAGAAAGGGTAAAGTTGGGACGACAGGATTTCTTACCCAGATCCTGATCCTAAAATACGTACTGGTTTAAATGCCGCCTTCCCACCCCTCCCTCGTTGTGTGCAAGGCACGCAGGTTAGTAAATAATGGACAAAGTTCACTCGTGGTCGCATTTAATCACAAGATAGACTTCAAATATCGAGATGTGCTGCTTATAAACGTGCTTTTTCATATAGAAAAAAAGAAGACTTCTAACTTCTTGAAGGCTTTGATGCTTTTTTGTGTGGTTAGATTTAAGGTTACTTTACTTCATATACGACTCACTCGCTACTGTTATGTTCTTAATACTTTTTTACTCAGCTCAGCACAGCTACACTCCTAAAAAGTTAACTCTTCTATCCAATACTGTGTATACTCAGTTATTCCTTCTAATCTTTCCAGACGTAAGTCCACTGTACTTCATGCTACTGTACATTATCGTACTGTGCTCTATTCTACGACTCTACCACTTCTACTCTTCTCTTCCTTCATCCTCACTTCTTCTCTCTTAGCCTGTTCCAGCCTCTCATCAGCGAAGACGAGCGAAAAAGCGAATACGCGAAAAATGGCGCGCGTGATAGCTTGCGGGCAAGCGGACGTAATCTGCAGACGTCTTTCTAGTAACCGCAACCATCACGCCCCCCTTGCTTCAACACAGCGGTCCAACGTCTGCGCATGTGCGCATGTTGTAATTACTTCGTGGAGTGCTGTCAAAAACGAGTTACACACAGCTTCACATTCAAGAGAGTCGATTTGTTTGGCAACCGTCGTTCTTTTTCGGAAACCATTAAAACAGAAAGGTGAATCAACAGGATACCCGTACTTGAATAAGCTTCGTGTTCGAAAATTATCGAGTTTTCTTTTTCCCTACTTTTATTTTCTTCTACAGATTACGATGCACGTTTCAATTTTCTTTCGCTTATTTTGCGAGACAGGAGCTGTTTCTTATGTATTCCTTAGAAATTTTGCGCGGGAAAATGGCGCGCGGCCTGCCAGAATTGAACCCCTTGCGCACACCCGACGTTTGACCGCTGTGTGGCCTGCTTCCTGCTTTTCCCACACCCACTATTTCACGCATCTCCACTTACTAAGAGCCTAAAGCAAGCTAATTCTCTTCACACCCTGTCTTCAATCAGCCAAAAGTAGCTGCCATACTAACATGACTGACATCAGCCACCAACACATTAGCTTTCCAGGCGCTGCAGATTTAGTTGGACAATCTCCCAAAGACTTTGATTCATCTTCTTTCTCGTCACCAGGAGACCTGCCTAAACAAAGGTACTTCTTGTGAATTTTGGATAGCAACAGTTATAGTGGACAAACTACACAGGGTATGAGAGGAGAGACGAGGAATGGTGGGAAGCGGAGGAGTTGGAATTAAGTGAATGTGTAAGTACACTCCTCAGAGTTTTCTCTCCAAGAAGTGTTCCTACCATGAGACTAAAAGGCAAGAAAATAAATTTGTCATAATTTTGCCCAGAGACAAAAATGAAATGCTTGTTTAAGATCACTGAAACTTTCGATTTATTGTGATATTTAAAATACCAACACTGGGAGAAGTGGAAAACACTCACGAACTAATGGAATTTTAAAGGATTATAATTACCGTATTTTCTCGAATAAGTGCTCACCCCTTAGGCCATAAATTGAAGAAACCGTCCCTCCCCTTCCTCACTTTCTTAAATAGTGGGGATGCAAGGAAAACCTGTTTCTGGTGCCACTTTATCTATAACTTTTTGAGCTTCAGTTCCCGAGTTTCTTTTCCGTTCCGGATATTTCCGTCTTCGTGCGCTTGTAGAATTCCTTTATGAGTTTTACCTGTTCTTTTGATTTTGATTTTTTGGCTTATAAAAGCGCTAACTTAATGAGCGCCCTCTTGGTAAAGCGACCTCCTACCAATAAGCGCCCCCCTCCCCATCACCCTTTTAGCCGAAATTTTATGAGCACCCAATCGTTTATTCAAGGAAATACGGTATTCACTTTTCCCAAATATGGGGGGAGGAGGGGAGGAGGGGGCGTACCCCCGCCAGCTAAGCTCGTGCGAAGGGTCATATCGCGCACTTTATCCCACGTGGTGCCCACTGGTTTTACGAATCTATTTAACCAATTTAAAACACGGACATTGCCTGAAAAACATTGGGCAGGCAGAGGAGTTTTGACTCTGATAATTAACTAGTCACATAAAAGTCAACCAAAATACAATGGAAAGCAAAACATTCATTCTCACCTTTTTCATCGACGTCTTGGTAATCATAACCGAACTCGAAAGACTTCTTGAACATCTGTTGGTGAGTGTAAACCGGAAACAACGGCACAATGACGTCATCTCTGTTGTGACCAATGGGTGCATTGTAAGTGGATAGCACATTTGCATCTTTATTAAACTTCCGCAACCACTTTTCATAGATACGATCCACAAACGCGTGATGAAGAGGAAAAATTGGGTCGTTTGATGCCGAAGGTACGTCCCCCATTTCTCCTCCAACAACTATGTGGACCTGGTTGTGCATGCCATGGACGTCAGAATGGTGACGACCAGTTTCGGCGCTGGCATAACCCTCCAGGATGTTTCTAAAACTGCAGCTAGAACTTTTGCTGTAGGGTTGGAGGTCAAAGGTTTCAAAACGGAGCGCGAAGTTGACTTCTGTTTTTGTTGGAAATGTCATAGTATATCCTTCTCCTTTTTTCTTCTTCTTCTCATCATCTGTGTTCCGTTTCAATCCATTTCTTGTTATGGTGGGGTTACACGGCTTTGTTAGTTGTTGGGTTTGTTTGCCGGTGCAAAGGACGTACCAGTCATTCAAGTATTTGCCCCTCACAATGCCAGTAGTTTGGTCCGTTACGCCAAGGAGCTCTTCAGAGCAAACTGCGGGGTCGCATCCAGTGGGATTCCCGGTCCAGTCCCAGAAAGGGAGGGCAAATTCTTCATCGTTTCCAATTTCCTGCAAGGTTCTCTCCCATGCTAACAAGTACAACCGATGCCATGAGGGAAATCCCTGACCATCGTGTGCGAAGTCGATATCAGATTCAGTGATATCATGAGGTAAAATGGTGTCACTTGCAGCATAGTAATGCATCCACGTGAACAAGTCATAGTAAGTGACATTATAAAAGAAGGACTTTGGGTCGCCACCCTCCATAACGGTTTTGTTTATCTCCTTGTAAGGAGTAGACGTAACCACGAAGTCACTTACATAGTGCTTGGACATGTTGACGTATCTCATGTATCGATCTTTCTCCTCGGTTGTCAGGTTCAGAAAATTTCTTCGTATCAAATTTTTCTTCTGCGTGCAGGTACTGCCATAGAAGCCAAACGCGCATTTGCTGCAATCGTAACCTGCATAGTTTGCGTTGCATTTGCAGACTTTGTGGTAAAGACCATGCGGCCAGTTGTGTCTCTCGTCCTCCATCTGGAACGGCCGGTAATGGCTGTATTTAGATGTCCAATCATGGGTGGTCAATTCATGGCACTGTCCTCTGCCTCCATCGTAACCACATTCTGTGGTGAAGTCACTAGGAGTAGGACAACATTTCTTGTCTCTCAGACTGTCCCGGTCAGTGCAGACTCTGGGAAACTGGCCTTCTACCCAGGGTAAAGTGACGACAACAAAGACAAGGTATGCGATGATGGGGTAACCCATTTTATGATCGACTCCCTGAAAGATAAAATTTAGGTCTTCGAGTTTAGACGTTCAACAATTATGTGAAACATAATAATAGTAATGACAATAATGATAAGAATTATAATAATGATGATGATGATGATGATGATAATAAATGAAAATTATTTTCTTTAAACCTCGCTAAGCCAGGGAAAAAAGGTTAATTATTTTATACATTTCCTTTTGAATTTTATCTCACTAAAGCCCGAAGTTAATTGATCCATCCTGCAATGACTGCATGTGTTTCCAATCTTTAGGGCTACATGACCCTAAAAATGATTTAACACTGTGGATTGCTAGATTTTAGAGTCTGGAAAGGACCGGATGTCATCAAAACCTTTGCTTCTTGAATAAATGTTTCTTTTTTATCAGTTTTTATGTCACAAACGGTTGGATTATGCATCTCGAAAAATTCCACCTGTACTCTTTATTATTCTGGTTCTGTTATTGTTTATGCTATAAGTTTATTCGTCGCATGAAAATCCTTACAACAACGAGCCGTAATTTAGAATTCGCTTTATCTCAAGAACTTAGCAATCATAACCAGCTTAATTTAACTGTTTGTGATTTTGAAGGTAACAACTGTTCAGATCCAAAATCTTCGGTTTTATTCCTTTTAAGTGAATCGGGATCTACATTTCCCGAAACTTACCTCCCAGTTCTCACTACGCAATTGTTATTCACATTCTGCGAATTAGTCACGCAGTATATCCAGACTACCTAACAAACGAGGTTAAGATGATATGAATTTTCTTAAAGTCATACGGGTTATCACTGTACGCTTGAAACATATCCTGTTTCTCTGTTGTCTCTTTGATCTAGTTCTAACGCTTATTTGGCAACGAATCCATCCTCGAAAATATTTACCAGAAGGTTTAAACTTCTAAATCCATCGCTGCTCGCTTGAGAAACTGATTTTCTTCACAACGTTATTGGAAATGAGCGGCTTTTCTGACGCAAAATATCTGCGACTCGAATTAAAAGAAAATTTCATCAGGTCCTCAGCTTACAAAACCACATAATTGACGGCGATGCCACTGGATTTAATTTATAAAATGGGTCAACTTTCCTAGAAAGCATTCCGTAAGTATATACTGCATGTCTTGCTAGTAAATATAAATTTCGGCCCAAATTTAAACTTTATTGCGTAAGACCAATTCGCTGCTTTTTCATGAAAGCCTCCTCAGTTCGATTTTAGTCAGAGCCTCTTTCTCTATTTAGAAGCAACTCCCGAAAATTACGTACCGAGACTCGAAAGCAATCCGAGATCGGCCTACAACAAAAGCATGCGCATTTCTGGTAAGGACTTTGACGAACTGAACTTAGTTTGATCATCAGATGTTTGAGACATGTGCATCGAGTACAATCCGCACTCTGTTTATTGAATAGTCATCGTTTAAAATGTACCTCGGAAATTTGGTGGTTTTTACACTATATTTTTCGTCTTGACTTCCCAATTAACTCCAAGGATTCAGCAAGCATACTTTACAAACTGCATTACTTCTGCCTTCATACTACAAATTTCTAGTTGAGGTACGGAATAAAATCCTATCGAGCATTAGATAGAAATACCTAAATTCATTTCAGAATTAAGTTTTATTACACAGCTGATGCGAAGGTACAAAATCTCTACACGGTTTTTACTCGTTGATCGAACATAGTTTTGCATGCGTCGGCAATTTGTACATTTTATGTTTCTTCTTGACCTTCGAAATGCCTCCAAGGATTCAGCAAACAGACTTGTCAAATTGCATTATTTCTGTCTTCAAACTACAAATTTTAAGTCAAAGCGCGGAATAACATCCCAGCGAGCAGCAGATAGAAATCATTAAATTTATTTCAGAATGAATCGACATGACAGAGCAGATGCGAAGGTACAACATCTCTACACGGTTTCATTCATTGTTCGAACATG